AAAAACGCGGGGCCCCCCCCAGCCATAAAACCTATAATTTATGGTATCCAGCAGGCACTACTGGAATGGGACTTTTCCAGCACTAAAAACCAATGAAGGTTGCGATGACAGAGGCCCGTTATGGACTGGGACGCCTTATGACAAAGTCCCCTGAGAGCTGGTATGGCCGGACAAAGAGCTTGGCCACCAGATGCACCCCAGTAAATGCACCTTCTGGATGGCAGAGACCAGAGACAGTATTCTCACTGGACACAAAGCCAAGCTCTGAGGACATAAAACAAGATGGAAGGAAAAAACCTCATCTTTTTTTTTTTTTTTTTTTTTGATAAAGAGCCCAGAGCAGGACTTCCCTGGTGGCACAGTGGTTAAGAATCCGCCTACCAATGTAGGGGACAAGGGTTTGATTCCTGGTCCAGGAAGATCCCACGTGCCACGGAGCAACTAAGCCCGTGCGCCACAACTACTGAAGCCTGTGCGCCTAGAGCCCATGCCAAGAGAAGCCACCACGCACAGCAACAAAGACCCAACGCAGCAAAAAAAAGAACCCAGAGCAAAGTTTGTCTAAACAGATGCCGGTCTGGTGAGAACTGCTAATTCACTGGTGTGTGAGGCTGGCTTGAACAGCAGGCTCATAGGGCCTGTGCCTGTGTTCTGCCCTCTGGTTCTTCCTCGTGACAAACAACACGACAGACAGAGAGAGAAAAACAGTGACCATCTCTGGGAGGTGAAGGATGAGGATTCCCAAGTCACTAATACAAGGAACTAACCAGCTCCACAAATATTTTCTCCTGCTAATCTAAATTTAGAGACAGAGAAAGGGGAGTCTCACCACTTTCCCTCCCACCAGAACTTGCAGGCAGAGACCCAGGAGGCCGACTGGGTAAGAAATCTTATTACCTTCTGCAGTCTTTGTCAGATGCCCCCGGATCTACAGCATCCTTAGGGCGGGAAGCAGGCTCCAGCCAGCCTCCTGCCTGGCTCACCAACTGTCAGGAAGAGGGAAATTTCCCCCTCTACCCCTCTTTTGAGATTTTGTGGCTGGACTAATAATCAGATTGACACAAGACAGATTAATAGGCGAAAAGGAAACAAATTTTAATTCCTGCTCATGGAGGTCTCACAGAAATGGGACCTAAGAAGTGGCCAAAGCAGGCAGCTTTTATACTTTTTGGACAAAAAAAACAATAAATTTGTGAGGAATTGACTAGACAAAGAAACTTAGGTTTTGGGTACCCAATTATTGAAAAATATAAACAGAGTTTGGGCTTCAGGTAGTAAATTAAAGAAGTAACAAAGTTTGTTTATATAGGCTTCTTGTCCCCAAAATCCCTATCTTTGGTGATAAGGGTGTCTTTCTACCTCCAGAGATAGAAAGACACCCTTTTACATGAGACATTCATTTACTTTTACATGAGAGATTCATTTCTTGCTTTCAGGGAGACAGAAAGGAGTGTCCCCCTTGTGCTGGCCGTTTCTTAAGTAAATTTAATTCAAAATAATCAATACGACATTGAGGCACATTTTGGGGTGGCCTACCCTGAGCCCCAGCAATACCATGTAAAGAGTGACAGTGCATGGAGATGGCTATGATGTGGGCTAGGATGGGGAGGGTACAGCAACAATGGGGATGCAGTGGTGAGGTCCAGGGTTTGAGGAAATGTACAGTCCAAAGAGTGATATGCATGTGGGGAGGGCATGTGAGCTGTTGCCCCCAGGGCCCTGGTACTGGGGATTATGGGCCCATGTTTGTTTGTATCTGGAAGGCATGACATCGGCGACACTAGGGGCCCTGCACTTCAGGCCCAGAGCATTGCTGGCATTGCTGTTGGCTGAAAAAGTAGTCATAGAAGGCATGGAACCAGGGCCTGGGATCTCCTCTGAGTTGGGAAGCTGGGGAGGAGGGTGAACAGGGGATAGACAGGGAGTCCTGAGGAGAGAAGCTGATCATGGAATGAACTGTCCCCACCATGGCAGGACTGTGTGACCTTTGAGGACGTGGCCATTTACTTCTCCCAGGAGGAGTGGGGACTCCTTGATGAGGCTCAGAGACTCCTGTACTGCGATGTGATGCTGGAGAACTTTGCACTGATAGCCTCACTGGGTAAGGCTTTCACACCCACCCAGGTGTCCTCAGCTCATCTCTGCCCATCCTCTTTTCCCAAGAAGAGGCTCTTTCTGTCCCACAGCCGGACTGTGGGCACTGCTTCCTTCCCCCCCCCCGACCTTTTTTAAAAAAATAAATTTATTTATTTTATTTATTTATTTTTGGCTGCGTTGGGTCTTCATTGCTGTGTACGGGCTTTCTCTAGTTGCAGAGAGTGGAGGTTACTCTTCATTGAGGTGTGCAGGCTTCTCCTTGCAGTAGCTTCTCTTGTTGAGGAGCACGGGCTCTAGGCACGCAGGCTTCCGTAGTTGTGGCATGTGGGCTCAGTTGTTGTGGCTCGCAGGCTCAGTAGTTGTGGTGCACGGGCTTAGTTGCTCCGTGGCATGTTGGGATCTTCCCGGACCAGGGCTCGAACCCATGTCCCCTGCATTGGCAGGCGGATTCTTAACCACTGCGCCACCAGGGAAGTCCCCCTTCCCCCCTTTCTGGTATATGTGCCGTGGGTTCCAGAGCTCAGCTGTGTGCAGGGTCCCACGCTCTCCCCAAGCAGCCCCAACACCTGCTGCCCTGAAGCCTTGTGGGGAAGGGTCCCAGAAGGAAGACCAGTGGATCCCGTCTGACTCGGCCACTGCCTGCCTGGGTGATTGTCCAGATCTATGACAGTTCTGTTCTGCTCTTTTCCTTTAAAACTAACATTTCCTAAGTCCTAACTGCCAGGAATTCTAGGCACTGGTGATTACTATTTGCTATGACCACTGAGATGTTCCTGCTAGACCTCCCTTGTGTGTTCCTTTTGTAATATTTTGTTTTCTTTCCTGTGGTCTGTTGTGGGGTAGTTCACCAGGGCAAGTGCTGGCCCCTTACCTGTCCTGTCTTCCCCTTAGGACTTACATCTTTCAGGTCTCATGTAGTTGCCCAGCTGGAGATGGGGGCAGAGCCCTGGGTGCCTGACCGAGTGGACATGACGTCAGCCATGGCAAGAGGGGCATATAGAGGGCCTGGCTCAGGTAAGTGAGAGATGGGGGACCATGTGACATCACTACTGTCTTCAAATCATACCTGCCACTTTTCTCGTGTTCATCGTTGTTTTGGTGCCAAAGCCTTATATCTCTTCTACCTTTCCTTTCCTGTTCTTGACACATTGCCTACTTGTCATTTCTGCTTTGACTTGGGGCCCCTGGCTGTGTCCCTCACTGTTTCCATAGCTCCCTCTGCAGCACTCTCCAGTGTGGACCTGCACTTAATATATTATGAGATGTACACATTTCCTCTTATAGTCCTTGAACACCAGCTAGCCAGTTGCAATCAGATTTTCCCAGGCCTGGACACATCCTTCTGCACAGTCCTCATGGGTTACCAGCAGCCAGGGCTCCCCTGAAAAGCCTTTGTAGAGAAGTGAGGAGGAGACCTGCCTTTCCACCTGATACTGTGCACATCTTTGTGTCCTTGCTCCTGGTAAGGCCTCCCCTATTTCGTGACCTTACCAGGCACAGCACATCAGAGAAGACCATTCCTTATCCTGACCTCAGGCCTTTCATCTTGCCAATAACCCCATGAACTCATTCCTGGATCAGACTTGCATTTGTGATTGGGTTGTCACCAGCATTTTTCTACTTTCAGATTTTTGCCATGGAACAGAGGGTGAGGAGTCACCTGCTGAGCTTAGTGTTTCTGTAGAAGTGTCACAGGACATGAATCCCAAGGTGGTTCCATCCACCCAGAAAGGCTACCCCTGTGACCTGTGTGGCCTACACCTGAAAGACATTGTGCACCCGGCTGAACACCAGGCAACACATCCCTGGCAGAAACCACATGTGTGTGAGGCATACAGGAGAGAGTTCAAGTTCAATGCCAACCTTCACCAACCACAGATGCAGCAGAACGTGGACAAGCCTATCGCAAGGAACGAAGGCAGCACCTCGCTTGTGAAGAGCTGCAGAGATGACACATCAAAGAAACCTTTCACACTGAGGGAGGGTGGGAAGGCCTTTGTGTCCAGATGTGGTTTTCTCCAGCACCAGGTCACTCCCTGTGTAGTGGAGCCACACCACAGCCCCGAAGGCGTGGTGGATTTTCCCGCTATGCAATTCCGTAAGAAGTGCAGTGAATTTCAGAACGCTCTCAGTGACAAATCCTCACTTGTTCAGCAGAGGACCCACACTGGAGAAAGGCCTTATGAGTGCAGCAAATGTGGGATATTCTTCAGCTACGCCGCTGGCCTCTTTCAACACCAGAGAGATCACAATCGAGGAAAACCTTATGAGTGTGGTGAATGTGGGACATTCTTTAGCCAGCAGTCCAGTCTCATCAAACATCAGAGAGTTCACACTGGTGAAAGCCCTCATGTGTGCAGCGAATGCGGGAAATTCTTTAGCCGAAGCTCCAATCTTATTCAACATAAGAGGGTGCACACTGGAGAAAAGCCTTATGAGTGCAGTGAATGTGGGAAATTCTTTAGCCAACGTTCCAACCTCATTCATCATAAGAGGGTTCATACAGGTAAAAGTGCTCATGAGTGCAGTGAGTGTGGAAAATCCTTCAACTGCAACTCCAGCCTAATTAAACATTGGAGAGTTCACACTGGAGAAAAACCTTATAAGTGCAATGAATGTGGGAAATTCTTTAGCCACTTTGATGGACTTGTTCAACATCAGATAGTTCACACTGGTGAACGACCCTATGGGTGCAGCGTTTGTGGGAAAGCCTTCAGCCGAAGCTCCGACCTCATGAAACATCAGCGAGTTCACACTGGTGAACGGCCTTATGAGTGCAGTGAATGTGGGAAACTGTTTAGCCAAAGCTCCAGCCTCAATAGCCATCGGAGACTTCACACTGGTGAACGGCCTTATCAGTGCCCTGAATGTGGGAAATTCTTTAGCCAACGCTCCAGCTTCAATAACCATCGGAGACTTCACACTGGTGAGCGGCCTTATGAGTGCCTTGAATGTGGGAAAACCTTCAGACAAAGTTCTAATCTGAGGCAGCACCAGAAAGTTCACAAACCAGATAAGCCATATAAGTGCAATGAATGTGAAAAGGCCTTCAGCCAAAGGTCTACCCTCATCCGGCATCAGAAAATTCACACCAGAGAAAGGAGTTCAGAGAATGTGCACCCTCCTTCTTCTGCACGACAGCACCCACTAGAGATTAACTCTGAGAGTGGTCTTTATGAGGGAGCTGTCAGCCAGAAGTTGAACCTTGTTCATCCAAATATCTATGCTGGAGAGATTCCCAATGGATGCTAGATATATTGGAAGCTTTCTGGAGCAAGGTTGCATTTTCTGACCACAAACTTTGCCAGAGTTTTTCTCACTGATAATGTCTCAGAAGTCATCTCAGTTCTACCCACTGGCAGGTCTCCAGAGTGTGCATCAGCCACTTTCCTGTGCTCACGAAAGACAGGCCTCTGTTTCCTCTTCCCAGGAGGGAATCATGAGTAGCCTGAGGCCATGGGAAGATGTCATTCCCTCCCCCTGTGACTGGTTTAGCTGTGGACATGACCCATCTTTGGCCATGAAGACCTGAGCTGGGTCCTACTGGCAGCTTGCAGAGGTTTCCCTTTTTCAAGGACATTTGTTTATCTTGTATGATGCTCGTGATGGATTCATCCAGCTTCCACCTTACCCATCTTAACAACTATTTACTTTACATTGCTCTGGTTTGGATGATAAGAGCCTTATTGATAAAGCCACCTTTAATCTTCTGTGTTCTGATAACTGTGGAGTGGGTTGAGAACAGAATTAAGGTCTACCAAACCAAAGGGGTCTCCAAATTTATTGCCTCAGGGAAGAGCAGGATGGCAGAGTGTAGTTTTCAGTCCAGATTTGGCCTCGTTTGTGTTGCTACCCAAGGCATCCTAGGGAAGCTTGTAGGGCTTTGTGGGCCTAATGTTGTGGTCTGAATGGCATGAATTTTTGTGAATCAGAGATTACTCTGAGGAAGGGGAGGTTGTGCAACCTCCAGTGCATCTGGAAGCAGCATGAGTTGGGCCCCTTGTTTACTGGGGATGCCTCCTATTCCTTAGCACTGTTGAGTAAACACTGCTTACCTGGCCCCTGCCAAGGAGTTATATGCCCTTGATGTCTAATGTTCCAGTATATGTCACCTACTGTAAGACTTACTGGGTCCAGTTGGCAAACAAGAGGGAATGTACCTGTTCTAAAAGTGCATCCACAAATGTTCCCTTAAATGTGACTGTGCAGGATTCAGGATTTGCAGAAGTTCTCAGGACCTCCAGACCTCTGTCCTTATGACTAAGGTCACTGGCAGAGCAAATTATCTAAAGGTTTTGTGGAATACTGCAGGCTTTCTGCATTACTCATGTCAAAGCCATTGCTGTGTTGGCAGGAAAATGGGGACTAAGAAGAAGGGAGATCCTGTACGCCAGGGATGAGGCATTTGTGACATAGCCAGCCATCTGTGCTGCCAACACATGAGGAGAGAGGTAGTAGAGTCAATATGGGGTTGCCAAATCTTCTAGTTTTCCAAAATGAGGAGATCAGATTTTTATGTGCAACAATTGCTTTTAATGCTTTGTTGAGATATAATTTTCATGGAATAATTGGCTGTATGTATTTAATGTGTACACTTTGATAAGTTTTAAAATATGTATACACTCAGGGAACCAACACCACAATTATGATAATGAACTTATCTATCACCCACAAAGCTACCTCATGCCCCTTTACTATCCCTCCTTGCCTTCCCCAGGGAACCATTACCTACATCCCAAGGAAACCATTGATTTACCTTTTTTTCACTATAGATTTGTTTGCCTTTCCTAGAATTTTATACGATTGGAATCATAAAGTATTTATACTCTATTTTTGGTCTGTTTTCTTTCATATAGCATAATCATCTTGAGAATCATCCATTCTGTGTGTATGAGTAGTTCATTCCTTTTACTGCTGAGTAGTGCTCTGTTGAATGAATACCACAGTTTTTATGCTTTTTTTTTAATTAAAAAATATCTCATAAAATACATAACATAAAATTTACTGTCTTAACCATTGTTAGGTGCACGGTTCAGCGGTATTAAGTACAGACATATTGTGCAACTATCACCATTATTCATCTCCAGAGTTCTTCACATTTTGCAAAACTGAAACTATACCCATTAAACAATAACTCCCTATTTCCCCCTTCCCCAAGCCCCTGAAAACCAATATTCTACTCTCTGTAATGGAATTTGACTACTCTAGTTATCTCATATAAATGGAGCTATATGTTGTCTTTTTGTGACTGGCTTATTTCACTTAGCATAATTTCCTTAAGTTTCATCCATGTTATAACATGTGTCAGAATTACATTACTTTTTAAGCTGAATAATATGCCATTGTATGTATATGTCATATTTTGCTTATTCATTCATCCCTCAATGGATACTTGATTTATTTCCACCTTTTGGTTATTGTAACTAATGCTGCTGTGAACTTGGGTGTACGAATCTCTCTTTGAAACCCTGCTTTCTGTTCTTTTGGGTATATACCTGAAAGTGGAATTACTGGATCATATAGTAATTATATTTTTAATTTTTTGAGAAAAAAAATTGTGTTGTGTTTCCCACAGTGGCTATACCATTTTACATTTTCAGCAAGGGTTCTAATTTTTTCACATCGTCACTAACACTTGTTTTTTCCATTTTTTGTTTGTTTGCTTGTTTGTTTGTTTTGGATAGTATCTATCTTGATGAGTATGAAGTGGTATCTTCTTGTTTTGATTTGTATTTCTGTAATGATTTATGATGATAACTACTGTTTCATGTGCTTACTGGTCATTTGTATATCTTCTTTAGGAAAATGTCTATTCAGGCCCTTTCTCCATTTTTGAATTGGATTGTTTGTGTTTTGATGTTGCTGAGTTTTAGAAATTCTATATACTGGATATTAATCTCTTATTAGGTTTATGATTTGCAGATAATTTCTCCCATTCTGTGGGTTGCCTTTTTACTATGTTGATAGTGTGTCTGATACACAAAAGTTTGAAATTTTCATGAGGTCCAAGTTGTCTTTTTTCTCTTGTTGCCCATGCCTTTGGCATCATATCCAGAAAATCATTGCCAAATCCAATGTTATGAAATTTTCCAATGTTTTCTTCTAAGAGTTTTATAGTTTTGGGTCTTACATTCAGGTCTTTGATCTATTTTGAGTTAATTTTTGTGAAAGGTGTTAGGTAAGCGTCCAGCTTCATTCTTTTGCAGGTGGATATTCAGTTTTCCCATTGATTGATTTTGTCAAAAATTATTTGACCGTATATTGGAGGGTTTATTTCTGGACTTTATTCTATTCCATTGATTTATACTTTTTTCTTTATGTCAATACCTCACTATTTACATTAATGTGGCTTTGTAATAAGTTTTGAAATTGGAAAATGTGAGTCCTGCAATATTGACCTTCTTTATCAAGATTGTTTTAGCTATTCAGGGTCCCTTGAGAATCCATATGAATTTTAGCATAGATTTTTGTTTCTGCAAAAAAAAAATAAATAAATAACTTGGATTTTGGTAGGGATTGCATGAAATCTTTAGATTGCTTTGGGTAGAATCGACATCTTAACAACATTCAGTCATCTAATCCATGAATGTGGGATGTGTTTCCATTTATTTGTCTTAATTTTTTTCAGTAATGTTTTATGGTTTTAAAATAGTTTTTACCTCCTTGGTTAAGTTACTTCTTAAGTGTTTTACTCTTATTAATGCTGTTGTAAAAGGAATTGTTTTCATAATTTTCTACTCAGATTGTTCATTGTTCGTATATAGAAATGCAACTGATTTTTCTGTGTTGGTTTTGTATCCTACTTTGTTGAATTAATTTATTAGTTCTAATAGTAATTTTGTGGAGTCTTGAGGGTTTTTTAGATTTAAGATTATTTCATCTGTAAACAAAGATAATTTTACTTATTCTTCTCCAATTTGGATGCCTTTTATTTCTTTTTCTTGCCTAACTGCTCTGGCTAGAACTTCCAGTACTATGTGGAATAGAAATGGTGAGAGTGGGCATTCTTTCCTTACTCCTGATTGAAAAGCTGTTAGTTTTTCACCATTGAATATGGCATTAGCTGTGGGTTTTTTATACATGGCTTTTATTATATTGAGGTAGTTTCCTTCTATTCCTAATTTGTTGGTAAAAGAGTGTTGAATTTTGTCAAATGCTTTTTCTGCAGCAATTGAGATGATCAAGTTGTTTTCTCCCTTTATCCTGTTAATGTGGTGTTAGATGATTTTCATATGTTGAATGATCCTTGCATTCTAGGAATAAATCCCACTTGAACACGGTGTTTAGTCCTTTTAGTATGCTGCTGAATTCTGTCTGCTAGTATTTTGCTAAGGATATTTGCATCAGTATTCATAAGGGATATAGGTCTATACTTTTCTTGTAGTATCTTTTTCTGGCGTTGATATCAAGGGAAATGAATTAATGTGTTATCCTTCAAGTTTTTGGAAAATTTTTGACAAGGATTAATGTTAATTCTTGCTTAAATGTTTGGTAAAATTCACCAATAAAGCTTTCAGGTCCATAGCTTTGTTGTTGGGAGGTTTTTGATCACTCATTCAAATGAATGAATTCATTGAATTCTCTCATTCATTTTGCTTAGTAGTTACAGTTTTATTCAGATATTCTCTTTCTTCATGGCTCTGTCCTGATAGATTTTGTGTTTCCAGGAATTTGTCTATTTCATCTAAGTTATCCACTTTTTTTTCATACACTTGTTCATAGTACTTTTGTAATCCTTTTTATTTCTGTTGAATCAGTTGTAATGTTTCCACTTCTATTTTTGTTTTTAGTAATTTATGCCTTCTTTAGTCATTCTAGCTAAAGGTTTGTCAATTTTGTTAATCTTTTTTGAAGAACCATCTTCTGGACTCATGACTTTTCTCTATTGTTTTTCTAGGTGTGCTGTGCGTTTTGTTTTCTTTCATCTCTGATTATTTTCTAATATTCTCTGTGATTTCTTCTTTGTTCCATTGATTGTTTAAGGGTATGTTGTTTAATTTCCACATATTTGTGAATTTTTCAGTTTGCCTTTTATTATCAATTTCTATCTTCATCTGGTTGAGGTTGGAGAAGATACTTTGTGTAATATCTATCTTTTAGAATCAATTAAGCCTTAATTTGTGGCATAATATGGTCTATTATGGAGATGTCCCATGCACACTTGAGAAGAATGTGTTTTCTGCTGTTGTCAAGTACAGTATTACATACATTTCTGTTAGATCTAATTGATTTATTGTGTTGTTAAGT